AAATGTGCTAATAATGACTCTATCCTCCATTACGACTGTTATTAGCAATTATCTTGATAATCGATTTGTTCCAGATATTCCAATCCCAGTATGGTATTGCTTTTGACCCAAAACAAAGCTCAAGTGATGCTCCTGGAGAATATCTTCAAAGAGATTACGCGTTTGGTTGTTTGATTAAAATACTTTGTAAACCATATTTTAATTTCAATCTGCAGTCATTATAGAGTAAAACCTCTTTTCATAAACCTCTTAACCCTTTAGGCGCCAGAGTTTTTTCAAGAAAATATACAATTTTGATTTCAAGATTTCAAAAGGCTATAACTTTAAAATGGTTTGAGATAAAGGCATACTGTAAATTAGAAATATCTTCAGTTTGAACCAAACTTTGGGATGGAAGTTGATTCGTCATCTAATTTGCATATTATGACGTCATCAAGGTGGCGGCCATTTTGGAAAATGTTAATTATTGTATAAAGACTTCAAAAAGCTGTAGCTTGGGAGTTATTTGAGATCAGGGAATACTATAAACAGTCAACTTGAAATATCTTTAGTATGAAATTAATTTGGGATAGAAATAAATTCCCTGATCCAGATTATAGATAATGTTTTTAGCACTAGTTTGCGGCCATATGGAATTGTATTATTTTCAAAGACCTTCAGTGATCAAGACAGCACTCTTTATAGTTTACTGTCATGAAATCTGGAGATTGGTTTCAATATTCCCCTTTCAAAGAAGTGGTGAGCTTACTATTTTTCTCAGTGGAAATGAGGCTCCAGAATTTACCGTTTAGAAACAGAGAGATGAAATGAATGGGCTCAGAACATGTCAGATCGTCTCAACAACATACAACAGGCTCTTCAACATTTCTAATCCACTTTTGTGGATTATTTTCTCTCAAGAACTGCCTTCATCCTCATCATCACTGTTGGTAAAGGCAGTGAACGCGATTAGCGATGTGTTTTTTTCCCGCGGCTCTCCCGCGACTTCTCCCGCGTTTCCCGTGTTCCCCGTGGATGTCTACCCCCGCTACTTTCTCCCACATGCCCGGTGTTATGATCCCCCTGTCCCCTCGACCACGGCCCCTGCTTGGCGTTCACAGAATGATTCTACCGCGGCCACACGGAGGACAAGCAGCCGCTGTACAGGGGCTGATTGTGGACTATATGGCGCGGTCTCCCCGTCACCAATAATGTCCGTGTCTGCTTCACTGGACACCTGCGTGTCTTCCTCCTCTGAATCTGAGTGAGCCAGAACCAGACCAAGTACTTCTCTGGTACTGAAGACCTCGTGAGTAAAATAAAAAACACTCTCTCCCTCTGCTCTACTCTCGCTCCTCTCAGCTCTACCGCTGCTGCTTCGCCTCCGCGCCGCTGCGCCGCAGGTGTTTTACGAACTCAATTTACTCAAAAACTTTCAATATAACCACACCCACAAATGTTGCTCATATTACAGGCACACATGTCCACTAACCCCTGGTGAAAAGTATTAACAAAATTCTGCACCACATTTTTACATACAGCCTGTTTAAGTGAGCAATGTTGTCGTGTGTATGTCTATTTAAGGTTATAGAATTATTAATAAACTAGTCAATAACTATCTCAACAATCGATTAGTTGCGAGTAATCACTTCTTATAGCCCTAGCCTCAACATCACCTCACTCAAATTAGAATAGCTTTTTAAAATGTCACAATGATTTATGTTTTATTATGTAGAAAACTCTATGGGACCTTAATTATAGATGAAATCTGGATTTACCTGTAGTTGAGTTTTGAACAAGAATTGTTAACCTTCAATTGTTTAGTGTGCTATCTCTGGTGTGCAAAGCTCTTTTAGATGACAACACATTGCATTTGCATCAACAACTTTAGCTGCACAATCAAATCAGTGTTGTGAATGAAATTCATGTTGGTTTTCTATGATTTTGGTTGTTATAATGTATTTTTGCAGAAATCAAAGAGTTGAAACACTTTTTTTGCTAATTCATTCTTATTTTTCTGTAAAATAATTATTATTTTTGTGTAGATTTTCAGGAGTTTGATAGTACAATTTAGATATAAAGAAAATGGCCAAACTGGAATGATATTTGTCAAACTGGAAGCACAATCTAAATTATAATTACCTTTAGTGTCAGAACTAAAGGAAGTAATACTTCACTCTATCATACTTATATGCTCACATGTACTTTGACCTACATACCTAGAGAAGTAAAATATCATAACATGTTGCTGAGGTTTTTCAGAAAGTGAAACCAGTGCAAAACATAAAAAGCCTGAAACATACGTGACATTCCAGTTTCCCATTCTGAAATGAACTTTTCAAAAGATCCACATTTTTGGAGTATTTCTGTAAATGGCTAAACTAAACACAATGGCTAAACAAATATTTGAAATCTGACTTCATTCTTAATGGTTCTTTGTCCTGCTGTATTCACCAGTCCTCTGTCAAATCTCCCTCATCATGTGAAAGTACATTTCTGCTAACACGCTGTCATGTGTCAAATGTATAAAAATGAACCATCTTTTCTTCTCGTTGTGGAGAAATCAATGCAGTGCGTGTGAATGAGGTTACGCTGGAGTCTATGTCTCCATCCATCTCTGCCTCTCTCCTCTTTTAGCCCGTCAATCTTCTCTCTGTCCTCGTTTTGTTCCTGCTCTGTCCTCACGTTTTGTCCATCTGGACTCCACCATTAGCTCTCCACCATAAAAATAGATCATTGTCGTAAGTCTGACTTTTCTCTGTAATGTATGGAATAAGGTGTTGTGGGGTAAAACAGGGTTATTATGGCAGTATCGTGAATTTTCAACACATTTGCAATATTATGAATAAATTATGTTTGGTTTTAATGGGCTGTTCTTTTATGGCCTTACCTTATTTCTGGCTATAGCCCCAAATGTCGAACAACTTTTTTGCAGGGACGGGGACAGTGTACATTCATAAACATTTCTGTCAATGTATCAGAAATAGCCCAGGTATTTTTCATTTTTGTCCCTTGAGAGAAGTCAATGTCACCTTAAAAAGTAATACATGATGTTATGATGCATCAAAGGAAGGAAATAGGCATAGAAACAGAGCATTGAAAGTTGCAACTCAATGAAAATGACTCATTTGCTCATATTTTGTAAAACTCATTGATATTCAATTCAATTCACTTTATCCTCGTATAGCCCTAAATCACAACATTCGTCATCTCAGAGGACTGAACAGTTGAAATCATCAACACAGATCAGAGAATCAGTTAAGACACAAGAAATATAGGACACATATGTATTGATCCATTGGGAGAGACTAATGTCCATAAATGTTGTAGAGATAGCACAAGTTCCATTTGGTGTTACACAATCAAACCATTTCTACCCTGTTAACGCTAATTTACATGAATAAAATACTATTGAGACACGGCCAGCAGATGCATTTAAGAACACAGATATGGTGCATTTAACTGCGCGGCAGAAATGAAATGACTTGGGCTGCTGGAGTTGTGTGCTTACTATATACTGTATATCACAGCAATTGTATTTTACCGTTCCAAGGTTTCAGTGCTAAGGCAAAGAGATTCCTTTGAAAGCATCACAAGGCTGACCAATCGTAATAGCTGCTTGTAGACTGGGACCAGAGTCACCAAATAGTCAGATTTGTGTGTACTTACATACATCTATATACTTATTCTTATGCTTTATTGATGCATAAAAAGAACTTTGTCCAAAGGTATTTCCGTCGAACAAAGGAAGTCAGATTTTTGTGGCTTGTGTGATTGTCCCTCTCTGCAGTACTTTTAGAAAAGATTTTGTTTATGAAATGTGCTATACAAATGGATAAGTGGATTTGGATTTGGATGTGCACTAACATGGCGACAGTCTGACTGCTCTTATGCAATCTACAATAAACAACAAACAATAAAAGCAGACACCAGGAGCAGCTCTTGGCATGTTTACAACTCATTTGCTGAAAAGTTGGCTGTTCTGGGGAAATATGTATTTTATTTATCTGAAAATAAACCTGATGAACCTGCTCTGTTTATAGTTCACAATGTAGGACAACGCAACAGTGGACGCAGGCTGCAGAGATTTTACTGCAGACTGTGTCCACCGTAAAGTCTGCAGTGATTTTACATGGCCGTCGCAAAGTCTGGCCACAGGCTCCAGTGTCATTGGTGAGTGACACAGACCTGCATAATTACTACCTGATGTCGTCATGAAGTTCTTTTGTTAGTTCTACTGGCTCCACAGACTTTTTAATCATGTCTTTGAGTTTTTATGAGTCCACCGCTTTGAGTAAATGATCACTGATGAGAAATGATAACATTTTAGGAAGATTCAAGTTTGTACATGTTGACTTTCGTAAAACATGTTTGCTATGGAACAAGCAAAATATGTCTCATTTCAAATAGTGTGTGTTCTCGTTTCAAATTATCTTAAAAAAGATGTTCCAATTGTAAAATCTAGACTAAATGCAACGATGCTATCCTGCTATATTGAATATATTATGCTAAACTGATGAAAAATGTGTCTAAAATTACTCAAATTTGGGAAGATGTATCTTCATTTGAGAAAGAAATTACTCCCTTGGATTGAAAAAAGGTTTTTTTGAAATAAAATACGTTTTTGAAATGATCACCTCATATTTGATCACTTTTTACAGTGTATTTGTTGTATTTATTTGTTGTTTATTGGTGCCGGATTTAAATGTATATGATTTCCCATACTATTGCTGAATTACGTTCAGAGGGCAAACTCAAGCCTAGATTAAGGACCTGCCTTCCAACAGTTTAAATTATATATTATAATATTATAATACCCAACCCAGCATTTGTATTGTGTTGTTTTGCACCAAGGAAGATAAAATATATTAAATCTTTAAAAACACAAGGTTTGAGCTGTGTGAAGGAATTTACAGCGTCTGTCCTGGAAGGCTTGTCAGAAGGAGAAGAAAACATTGCGGTAGAAGTAGATCCTATATTTTCCTTGTACATGCACAAAATAGCGAAAAGCCAACAGTGCGATGTCAGAGGATTTGGCGTGCTTTGCCCCCGGTAGCGGCGGGGTGGGGGCTGTCTCGTCTTTTGAGCGGTTCGTGGAGGTGAGTTCCTGTCAGATTTTGGCCAAAGGGAGAGCGCTGATGAAAGGCCTCTTCATCATCCTAATGGGATACACAAACCTCGGAAACCACGGATTCAGCCGGGACAGGGCCGAGAGGAGGAGGATCAGGACACACACAGTTGTACAATGTATACAGAAGGCAGACGCATGTAAACAGACTAAAGCTTTGGGAGGAGGTCAGTGGGACAGGACTCCTGGGAACGGCTGCCCGTCCTGAGCTGCTTCCACATCACGCTGTCTGATTATTTCATAAGCGCCGTTAATATTGAACATTTGCTTTGGGGCAGCATGGTTTGTCCTTTTTAGCTTCTCTGGTTGTTATGTCATGGTTCTTCACAAAATATAGATGCACAATATATTATCAATAATGTAGCCTTAATAAAATGGTACATGTTTTCCAGCTTTTTCATGTTTTATTCTGATCCAGACAGAAGAAAGAACTTAAAGAAAAATTTAAAAAAATCTAAAACTTTCAAAAATAGAGAAATGAGACTGAAATGACTGATGTTCAAACTGATGTAAGCCGTCATTAAAAAGTTATTTTAATAATATCGGCCAATAAATATTGTTATTACATATCCATATGGCCATATTTCATCACCAATATCACTATCAGGCCTCTTTTTGTTTTAAGTAAAAATGGGACTATCCTATATTCACGTCAGAACGAGGAGTTATGGTGATTCTTCATTGAGGAAGTTTACTGTTCATCCAAATATATACAATATTTAAACCATCTCATTTCGAACACATAATCATGTTATTCTCTTTTCTGAGAAAGTCTATACTCAATTTGTTCATGCTTATAATGAGATGTACAATGGTGTTAATGTTAAAAAGAATGTATAGTTATTAACTGTATACCACTGGAAGAGAAAAACACCCTTTCTATTTCTAGTATTTAATCATGAATGTTTTAAAAAGTATGAGACTTAAAGGTTACACGGGACTTTTAGGGAGTGGAATGACAGCGGTAACCTTTAAGTGAACTGCAGCCGCTCTGTGCTCTGGGTGTTTTTGCTGTGAGGAGACGTTGATGCTTTGTTAACGTACTACTATCTAATTTTGCAAATGACGACTGTTGGGACACAGGAAGGCATTTACTCGGGCTCGGCCACAATAGCAGTCGTTTGGGTTTTCCAGCAAAGTCATGCTTTCATCACTGAGCAATTTGGGGTAGGGCCGAGACAGGAAGTCAATTATTTCACTGCAATGATTAAGTTTCTATACACCACTACTGTCATACTGCTTCTACTGTTCTGTCTCTGCTACTGCTCATTAGGTGCACTAACGTTTTTGGAATAGTTTGGAAAAAAGCTTTTTTTACTGGGAGCCAGTTCAAATAGCAGCAGATCTGAAATGTAAACTGGCCCTCTGTGTTGCTGGGAGATTGAATTCCAAAAAAACAATATATTTCACAATGTAATAAACAAATATAAATGTCTATGAAATCAAACAAATCAACTAATATAGTTATCGATTATTTTTTTCTTGAATCTGTGAATGGGTTTTAATGACTGCAGAAGGAAATCAAAATTGTTTACAAAATGGTTTAAATTTATCAATCCAAAATGTAAGAAGTCCTCTAATGAAGATGTTTAAGATAGTATTTATATAGTGCCTTTTGTGACACCCAAAGTGTATTCACATCACACGCAGTGGTAGAAGTCGTACATTTCAAACGTACTGTATGTACAAATATACAGGATAAAAATACACAATTTGAAAAGGGGTTGGATGAAGCTGGGGGGGACTACTCGGAGCAAGGTTAGCAAGGTTCGGCTTCTCAGACCACAACACCGACTATTATTTATCACACTAGTGTTATACTAGGGACTCGTACATTGTGGAGGAAGTGTCTTGCTCAAGGATACAGCAGCAATTTGAGCCTTGAAAGTCTGGCCCACAGAGGCACCTTGTATTTCCAGCAGTCTCCTATCACAATACTGGCCAGGCCCAGCGCAACTTGGCCTCAGAGATGTCTTATGGCCACAAAAGCCCCAGTCCATTTCACACAAGGCTTTAATTCAAGGCCGGGTCGCTGTGATAACTGTAAGAGGTTACTGTAATCAAACATACAGACTTCAATCTCAACACTTCCTTTTGCTCTTTCGGGGCAAAAAGGGGCGTTCCAAAACCGGACCAGACACATCAACGTGTCATAGGTCTTCCAAAAAAAGTAAACTTCCTTCCTTACCTCATAGACATCCACAATTCTTTATTACGCCTTATCTCTCGTCTGACAAAGTATGTATTATGTTGAGTCTCACAAAAAACCCCTTCGGCATATGTTTCTGAATATGCAAAGGAGAGAACACGAAAGGGAATATATTTGTGTTTAAACTAAGAGGAGGCTGAAGATGGATGCGTAGTGCAAGCTGTGAATGTCACTGCCAAGACGCCCAGGGCCAAAGCAGACGAATGGTGACATGAGAGGCCAGACTGAGGCTCTGAAATCATCTAAATACATCCAGTCCGCCCCCAATCCAGACTATGAGCAGGCATATTAAGGCACTACACGTGGTTAACCAATGAGAGAAAATGATCTATAATGTATGCTGCACAACACACACTGAGAGCTGAATAAGGATTGTGGAATTAGTAGTACACGGCAAAAAAGTTTAAAAGGGGGCGTATGTAATAAAAAGAATTAAGGTTTCAAAAAAGTTATCACAATTACAATCAAACTTTTGTTGCTAGAATGTTGCTAGAATGACACATGTAGTATATTTACGAAACGAGTATGATTACCTTCATTTGAGTACTTGCTCATACCGAATGCCGATACGAGTGCTGCATTGTGTTATCCCTGGGAATTCATGAAACTAATGCTACTGTATACAGAATCTCATTTAAACAATAAGAAAACGCTTTAACAATTGAGCCTTTTAGCAATTGTTATAACTGTTAACAATAACCACTGTCATATTCCACTCATTCAAATGCTGTGTTGTAGTTGGTTGATGTTGTGCTCCGGTGCTAGCAAAGGTGCTATACTCGCCGTGGTAGTGAGTTTTCAGATGTTTGATCAAGTTGCTGGTGTTATGGTGCTTTCAGACCGGATCATGCGTTGCATCGGGTTTCAATGCAAAGTCTATGGTGACGCGCGTTCGACCGTCGCAGCGCGCGGACCTCTCGGCACGCACGAACGGACTGTTCAGTAGACACGCACGGACTTGGCGGGAAAGTCAAAGGGGAGGAGCAGGAGCGGAAAATGGACGCCCACAGGAGATGGTTTCTGCTCATCCTTTCCTTGGGACATTCGTGCGACAACCAATCAGAGAGCCGCAAAGTGGTCACGGGGAGTCCTCTGCGTCTGAAAACTATAGAATGCGCGTCTGGTGAGCGGGGCTTCAGCGTTTCAGCGTTGCCGGTCTGAAAGCACCATTATACTCGTTTGTTTTGGACCCACCTTGTGACAGATTTACCTTAAACAACGTACAGTCCACTTTATTCTTGTCATCGACACTCATTTACTTAAAAAAACTGCCATACAGCCAACATACTGTGCGCTTGCCACTAGTTTGCCCCTGAGCTAGCGGCAAGCGCTGCTGACAGTACCGACCCCAAGCCCCGGCGATCCAAGATGGCGCCGTATTCAATGAATGGTTTGTGTCCAGTGGCGCTTTGTGCCGGCACGGTCGCTGACATATTAGCGGAACTCGACTGGCACTGGCAAAGATCCATGGGAAACTCGCCTGTATTTGGGCATCATCTGGTCCTCCCGGTTCTGCACAGTGGATGATCTCCCATGCTGCATTGTGCCAAATACGCGTGTGTGGCTCTTATGCACTTGCACAGAGGGGCTCGGCCGCGCTCTGACCAATCAGAACTGCTCATCAGAGCGGGAGTTGGAGCGGGAGCCAGACAGGCAGAGTTTGTGGCACTAAAGTGTAGATTTAAAGAAAACCGAAGGATTTAAGAAGAAAAAAAGGGACACTAAAATCCCCACAAAATCCGATCTTTATGAAAGCTGTAGGTTTTCTGTCAGCTGAGGTCGAGCTGATTTAGTTTGCATTGAGTTCTATGGGGAAAATATCTGGGTAGCCCACGTGATTTTAGTGTGGTTCAGTCTGCAGTACCGCGAGAATCCCCCGAGCACGTGGTCCTTCAGCTCCAAGCTAGTAATACCCTATCCAGTTATTATAATAGATCCATGATCAACCCTGGCATCCCATTTATTTTTGTATCTGATTTCAATTTTGTATGTAAAAAACAAAAAACAAAAACTGGCAGCCTCATTCTGCTCTCTAATTAGATCATCTGAAACACAATTTTAAATGGACATCTTTAAACTTTTATTCAGAAAAGTTCTTATGATGTATGATTTACCTATATATGTTGAGCTATTCTCTGGGAAAACAGATAAGACGGATGTAATTTATGATTGATTGAATGAAAATGGGGGCGACAGTAGCTCAGTTGGTAGAGCATTGGCCTTTGAGCCTGAAGGTCGTGGGTTCGAGCCCACCGTAAGACCTACTACACGTCTCCCACTGATGACTGCTGTCGTTGTGTCCTTGGGCAAGACACTTAACTCCACTTTGCCTGAAGCTCCCACTGAAAGATCTCAGCTCCTGTGGACTCACCACCTGCAGGAGGATCAGTGAGGGGCTGGTGCTCTGTGTGCTGGGTGGCATCTCTGGCCACCCCCCCGACCCAGAAATGGATTAAGGGGAAGAAAATGGATGGATGGATGGATGAATGAAAATGTATAAATGAAAATATTTCATACTGTCCATTTAAATGATTTGAAATATGCTCAATGGTAAATGTCTTTGTTCCATCTAAAATGTCTTGTAACTCACCAGAAATGTCCTCATACAAGTGACATATTCTAGGTCACATCTGCAGTAAATCTTTCCTGGACGGAAATAGCGGCGTCTTGAAGACTAACCTGAATTCAAGTCCTCTTAAGAGTGATTAGATGTAACATGTTTGCAGTTGTAATTGTAACAGTGGTCATGTATTGTATGTTGATTTGCTGTTGTAGTTACATGAGTGATAGTGTTTTTAATATAATTTTTCCTTGTCTATTTATACAAGATAGAGGTTGTGGGATGCTCCATTTTTCCAAATCTCAGGTCAAGGGCACGTTTGTGACTGGCTGCAGTCAGAGATCAGGACTAAACTTTGACATAAAGAACGCCAGCCTCATGAATGATTGATGTGTGGCTGCTGACTCATCACTCATGGGACGCCTGCAATATTTTGACC